TGTATTGGAAAGTGACCTTAATAAAAAATATTTTTGGTTTAATTGTTACTTGTTCTTCCGTTTTTTCAAAATGAAAAACAAATAGTGTGAATTGGTGGATTTTTTTCTGTCCTTGAACTATCATTTACCTGCAACAATCAATTATGCTACCTACAGCTGTCTAATATTTCTAAGAAAGAGGAGGGTTATTCTTTAAAAAATATTGGACAGTTAAAGGTAACATAGTGGTTTTTACAGGTAAATTATGATAGTCAAATCACTGAAATAAACAACGGGTACAACAATAGAATACGGTCACAACAATGTTTTAACAACCAATCAAAATTCAGGATGCTTATATTTAAAGTACAAATATATTTAAAATTAAAAACCAATTGTTCAGAGAACAATTGAAGGTCTTTCCACCAGTAAGGATCTATTTTGATATGAAAATATTAAAATTTTGTTTTAAATGTCAATTTCCGCGTCAAATGACAGCTTATTGTACGCTGATTCCCAAAAAATATGGTTTTCATACAAAAAGATATAAATAAGGGAGATAATTTTTTACTTCCGGTTTAAAAGATGGTACTTCCGGTATTGTTTGATAGTTTACTTGACACTGATTCCAAAAATATATGGTTCTATATACTTTTACATTAACTTAGTACAAAAAATAGCTCCTTCCGGTTTACAAAAGGTCACTTCCGGTTGACTTTTTCAATGTCACAATGCTTGCAACCTAATGCAAAAAGTCCCTTGGCTTTATCATGTATAGATGCATATGAGGTAAAAGCAAAGGTCAAAATCTAGAACGTTAAATTTACCTATGACCTTGAGCTCAATTTCAAGGTCTTAAACCAAGGACCACAAATCAAAAGACTCTAGGCCTCTACTTTATATTGTTAATGAGTTCTATTACCATACGATTGATTGATTGATTGTTGGTTGCTTAACGTCCAGTGGTATTACCATACGACTAATATAAGATATAAAAGGGGGAAAACTCGCATCAAATGTCTACGTACCCTTTCAACTAAAATTTACGTGTTACGACATGTCGCAACTAACAATTGTGTGAAAATATTTTGTCGATATCTTATATGATTTCTAAAAATAAGAGATAACAAGCCAAAATCAAAATTTTGAACATGACCTTGACCTTTGACCTTGACCTCATTTTCATTTTTTTGGACGAAGAACCTCATATCAAAAGACCCTAGGCCTCTATCACTAATGGTTTTCCAGTTAAAAATACATTTCAATTATATCAAATACAAAAGGGGAAATAACTGTCATATGGAATCTCTATACGGCTTCGGTCAAAATAAAACCTAACATCCTGAGGATATAACGAGCAATTTAGAAAAATAAATTTGTCGCTTTCTTTTACGGTTGCGGAGGAGATCTCATAACAAGAAAAACAGAGTTTGGGGAGATAACTCTTACAAAGAAAAGTGTTCGGTTAAACAGGGTCAGTTTCAAAAGCGTATAGACTGTATGATATCATATACCAAAAAACTAAGCGACATCTTTTGAAACAAAAGTACACCGCAAGAAAAAAATTAGGCGGAAGAAAAAAACATAATCAGAAGAAAACCAATAGGTCTTTCCACGGAAAGGTGGAAAGACCTAATAAGCGACACGTATCTTGTGGCTTTATGCCAAGAGTTTTCAATTGTCCCTATTCGGCTTACATATGTTTTGTCAAGCCGGTTGAACCATTATTTGAGTGATTGATTGAAATAATTAAAAGATAAAGAAGAGACGCAGCGGGACGAAAACAAGTCATATGTCAAATAAAAACAGACAAAATAATGACCAAACATAAAGTCGACGATAAGACTAGCAGCAATAGCAAAACCGTACACAGACAACTTAAGATGGGGCAACAAGAACCACACCATCAACTTGCCCCGGAGTTGTTAGTAGATCTTTCAACTATGTTTAATTTTTTTAACTTCATCTGTCTTGACAAAGTAAAATGGAAAATATTAAGGCTGTGTGTTCTTTAATTCTCACATTGTATGCTTATCAACACAGATTTTGTTAAACATAAGGAAAGTAATGTGTTGGCGATTGCTTTGTAATATCAGCCTATAATCTATTCATACTGAAACTTGTAAACATATCGTTAAAATATGTGACATGTGTTTGATTGATGCTCGTGTACATTTAAATATCTATACACGCATAAAGATGATTTAATCAAGAATGATGTAATAAAATTTATTTGATAAAATATAACTTCTTTATTTCTGAAGAAATTTTTTTAAATCTTTCATCGTTAAAAAAAAAGCAGTTTAACGTGCGTAAATCAAATATTGACATCCTTTTTGATTTGAGAATATTCAAACGAAAATGTTGGTTGTCTATACTTTGGAATGTTGTCGAATTATATCAAAATGTGATACATGTATTATGTATAATGTGATACATGTATTATGTATAATGTGATACATGTATTATGTATAATGCAGCTTTTAAAAAAGAAGAAACGATACCAAAGGGACAATCAAAACTCACAAGGCGAATAACCAAAAAAAAGTATCAACCATGGTCAAAAGAAAAACGAAGATACAAATAATTCCACAAAAACACAACAAAAAAACATAAGATTTAGCCACATGAACCATACCTTAAACAGTGGGTGAATTCAAGTGCGTCGTCCGCGTAAGCAGTTATTACTCCACTAGTGAAACCGTCGTGTTACTCTTACAACAATCACATTCATATAAATGACATTGCTTAAAACGAATTCATTATTACAACATTTGTTTTGTACAACTGGTATCTTGACGTCCTTAGTAAATGTAACATAATTTGAGCTATATTGAATGTATTATTATTTTGTAGGTATGTAAAAAAAAAACAAATACAGATTCCGTTTCTCCAAAACCAGGACTTGAAAAGAAACAATTGATTTCGACGAATCAAGGTATATTTTGTCCATTATAACGGTGACGATTTAACTATTGAGACATTTGACAAATAACGATAAGGATAATCAGACGAATCTCGATACAAAGTTAATTTAGTTGAGCAGATGCTAACAAAAGTCGAAAATTACCATTTGACCGCCTGACAGCCAAAATGTATCCTATCATAATGGAAACCCTGATGTTATAGCTTACCTGTAAGCTGTAATCCTCTATCAAGAAAATCATGATAAGAAAAGCAAGATCTGCAATATCGTATATACTTCCGTATGAAGTTGTTACACAAAATTGGGAAAATTTAAATCATCTCTTTTGTCGTATAGTTTAGTTCTCAACCGACCTTTATTGTCATTTTTAGATAAATTCTACGTATGAGGCAGACTTAACTGTATCTGTTTTACCCCTTATTCTAAGTCCATTAGGATAGATGCAGTCAACATAGTCTATACACTTTGAAATATTCAGTAGAAGTAAACAACTATATAGCGGAAAGTGAATTTAAAGGCTAATGCCAGCTTCTTTTCATTTTTTTCGAGAAGCTTCTATATGAAGTCTGCACATATGAATAAATGAACAAGTCGGGAAGCAGAGGGGAACAATTGGTTCCTATAAGAATGTCGATTATCTGTTCAGAACATTTTCTCAAAGCGTAATAAAAGATAAAAGTAAAAAAGTCCAGGATTGTGATGATGTTAGTTTCAGCGAAAATTTCCTGAAGTTTGTTCCTAACTTTAACAGGATATTTGTATCTGTGTTGATCATTCTGTTCTATGAAACAGATTTTTACTAATGTTATAAATTTATCGCTTAGTTTGTTATGAGGAATAGTAGTGAAGGAGTAGAGAAGTCCTATACTATAACTTGAGGAGAAGGACTATGATTGGAATTACCATTACAGATTTGTTATTTTTTATGTTTCCACATCTGACTCGCACCACCCGTAGAGTTGGTAGTTTCAAGGTAACCATGAAGTCCGATTTTATTGTTTGTATAATAAATGCTAATAATTTGAAAAGAGGTCTCGTTGAGCATTTCGCAGATCAAGCAAATTCACATCGACATGTGAAAGGAAACCTATTTAATTTAAGTATCCAGTAGCGTGAAGGAACATCAAATTCGTCACCCTAGGTTGAAATCCGAAGAAACATATTTAAGAGAATTCATTCGGTAAAATTTCAAAGCATTTATTTTAGATTTTAGTTCATGCTTTACATGCAAAATTATATCAAAAATCGTATATAAATGTTTGACATCAACTGTTTACTGTAATAATGCATAATCAATTAAAGAACCTTTGTGAGCACGTTCACATACCCCATGCCCCACATTGTCACTGGGCAACAAAATCTCACCATATTCCTAAGTTCAAAGGCTCCTAACTCACAAGTCAACTGATGTTCTTATTATCTACAAAGTTTCATGAAATTATGTAGTGTGGGTTAAGAGTAGTTGTGATGACAAACTGTAGCGGTAGTATATATAGACCAAAATTCTAAGTTCAAAGGGTCATAACTCCTAGAAAAAAAATTAAATCATAATTTCCTGTCGATATGCAAATCTACAAAGTATGTCCTAATCATATACAAAGTTTAATGACACTGCTTAAAATTATGTACGCCAAACGCGTGTTTCATTTACAAAAGACTCACCAGTAAAACTCGATTCAAACAAGTTCAAAAGGCAAAATAAAGTACGAAGTTTCAGAGCATTTAGGACCCAAAATTCCTAAAGGCTTTAATAAATACAGGTAAGGTAATATATTTTGGGGTAGAAAATTTTAGTATTTCAAAAATTTGAAGTTTTGTAAACAGTTAGTTTATAATTATTAATATACCAATGATAGTTCATGTCTACACAGAAATTCTGACTTCTGGGCTAGTGATACCTTCGACGATGAAACCTCCACCAACAGAGGTATCGACCCTGAGGTTGTTGATAAACTCATTAGATACTAGATACCAGGTTTAAACATTTATACACCAGACAAAAATTTCGTCTTCACAAATCTCACCAATGACACTCGAATAAAAAATGTTAAAAAGGCAAAATAAAGGACAAGATTTAAGAGCTACAATAAGTTACCTGTGACTGTCGAAAGCATCAAGAGATAAATGACTACTGTCATCGGATTAACGAAAAGAATCTTGAAATCCATACTGAATCTCTCCGTTGCAAATCTCTTCTGACTTGTGTAATTGTTATCAGAAAAATATTATATACCAGATGTGACATTCACTTTGATCGTGATTCTCACAATATGTTAACGGAAATAAATATTTTGATTTAAATAATATTTTTATCATTAGTGTGAATTCAAAACGCATTAGCCATAGATGAAAGTTTTACTGATGGATAAAGAATTTGTCAAACGATAAACATTTGTAGTCATTTTCTTTAAGACTCAATTTCGGTTATTTTGTATTTAAAGGAGATATTTTATCGGTAAATTAAAGCACCAGGTACTACAAGTGTTTGTAGTTTTGAACTAATTAAACTCTTTTAATATATATTTTTTTCAAAATAATTAACTTTTGCTATTACTTGGCGTCCGTTGTCGTCGTCCGTTTTCGTAATACTTATTTTAATTCTTCACCTCTGAAACTTCTTGGTTAAAACGTTACTAAACTAAACATAATGTAGCTTAGGGAATTTAATTTAACAAGGTAATCCGTAAATGTTGTCTCATTGATAGGGCAAGTATATTTTAGCCTCTGTCAACTGGTGTAAAGAAAAGTTGACCAAAGTTTTTGAGTTTTTATTCGTCTCTTGTGGCCTACGGTTGCAGTGTAGTCTTTTCTTTTTCGGTGGTACAGGTGAATGAAAGTTCGCAATGCCATCCATTGTTCTCGTTACGCCTTAATTTCTGTCCTGTACCTGGCCCTATCAATGAGACAAAATTGGAAGAAAACTAGAACAACTACAAAATTATTTTAAAAAGTACTTAGATCCCTAAACCGAGCAAAAATGCCACCTTATTTTATTGACATTGTTTTAAGTCAGACATTCTTAAAAAATACCAAACAATAAATCCAACACAACCTTACCCTTGAAGAATAATCTGCACTGAAAACTTACGATCCAACAACAACATCGTAATTAAACCTTCAGATAAAGGCAGTGCATTTGTCATCATAAATAAATCTGCCTATATTAGTGAGGCTGAAAGTCATCTTGCCGATGCTAAAAGAGAGGCAAAAGATACCAAAGGGACATTCAAACTCGTAAGTCGAAAATAAACTGACAACGCCATGGCTTTGGACTTATATTCAGTTTGTGAGTTAATCGCCCTAGTTTACACATCAATAACCTCTAGAAAAAATGTGTTTAATCCTATAATAATTCTTATATGATTTGCATATAAAAAAATACTTGAATTGGATTGGTCCTTTTGAAGTTTTCCCTTGGTTTACACTTCGATAAACCATGTTGCCGAAACTACTTTCGTAACCTTCACTGTGACCTATTCATACCCTATACACATGCACGTGATCAGGGGTAGTAAGCAAATTGAGATTGAAAAACAAATAACATAATTTTATTTATGCAAAGAAAAAAGAAGTAACGCATTCAAGCTTGTAAAATGTATGAAATTTAGATAAAACAAAATTCCGCGAACAATCATGAATGATCTTACCACGTTAACGTCATGGCAAAACATGAATTCTAATATTACGTGCTTCTTTCGCTTTGTAAACAACACTGTGATAAAATTTTCGATATATCTATACTTAGCGCAGACTCAGAGATGTGCATATTAGTGGCTGTTACTATTTACCTCCCACGTAAATCCACATGTATCGTAACCTATGTGCAAACACCATGTCGATTTTGTTGTGTCCAAATTGAAATTGAAAAAGAAACTACAGAACCGTAAATCCTATTATATTGCATAACAATAATAATTAATACACAAGAGCTTAAAAAATGTATAAAATCAAAATAAAATAAAATTCCGCCAAATTTCATGAATGATCTTGGCGCATTAACGTCATGTCATAACATGACGTCATACGAATGAAAACTCTAAAGCTGAATGTTTTCCGTTACGTATACTCCCTAAGTTCGGATAATATTGCATTCAGTTGGAAAGCAGGTCACGGTTTGACCCCAAGTCTATCAGCAACAATAGAGTCACGTGACCGTGAAAATTCAGTAAAACTACGGATGAGACAAACCTCACTTTTACTCACTAAAATACCACTGTCATAGTAAAAACTTATTGATCAAAATAATCTTGAATATACATAGTTTTAACTCGTCAAAACTTACACATCAACTCAAAGTCCTTTATTCTTTATTTTATGTTCAAACTTGAAGTTTGTGTGAAAATTTTCAAGGCTCCTGATCGAAAAATCTAAATATTTTCGAGGAAACTAAAAATGATGGGCTGAATTTAAATTTAATAAAGCATCTCGTTAAGACAAACACTCGATATGAATATCTAGGCAATACAGTTTTGGATACGCAAACGTCAAGTTATGTTCAACACGAAGCGGTGGTTTTTTTGCCGATTTGTGCAAGTGGTTATCTCCCCTTGATATCACCAGTCAAAAATAAAAACCCACCAAAATGAATAAAAAGGAGTTTATTTTACAAAAATCAAGAAGAAAATAAAAGAAAGTCGATTAACAACTATGTTATTATAATATTAGGAAGAGATACTTCTCTACTTTTCAGAGAAGGATTACAGGTAAAAGTTAAAAGACAAAAAATTGGTAAAAATTATATCTAGAAACCTAGCTGAATTGTTATAAATTAGCCCTGGCTGATGAAATTTACTTTCAGTTTATAATTTTTATAATGGGATATTGGATCACTCCTAATGTAACTACATCTAACAATGTTTAATTCAATAAAACATACTGTATACAAAATAATCTTTCTGAAAAAAAATAGTACTGACCATTTATATTTTATATTTTAATAAAGTGGGACCAAGAGTCACAATTTAGTTTCTTCAAAGTAAAAAAGCCTTTTAACTCAAGCTTATGTTTCTTAGTTGAACAGTACAGTACTGCCTAGAAAATATCATACAGAAAAAGGATAAGTTTACCAAAAAAATGACAAAAAATCTGTAAAAAAATAATGCTTAAAATTATAAGTGAAAGTGACATAATTTTGAATTTTAAAATCATTATTTTGTAAAATTCAACTATTAGATTAGCTAGCACAGTAGGGGGCCCTTGTCCAATTTCTCAGGGTATTTTATAGTCCAAATAATTATGACGTCTTGGAAGGCTATTTTAAACTTTTGCATTTTATAGATTATGAAAGTAAACATTTTGAAAAACAATTGGGGCTTCACCTCTTCAGGTTTCTGTATCTGCTGCTTTACATATTTAATATAAACAAAGTATTATATATTTTACGTGAATAATTGGATATTAATCTCAGAAATGAAAGTTGGTATGACAAATCTTTTGCATTTTACTTTAATAATGATCAATGATGATTAAATTTGACAAGATTTTGTCATTTGAATAAATTCAATTTTGTAAGCACACATCTCTAAGAATTAATTTCTTGTTTTACTTGAAAAGCTAGTGTTTGCTCTTATTAATGTAGCTTACTTAGTAAAGAGATAATTGATAAGCAAGGTTTTTAGCTTATAAAATATAAATATAATTAACTGACCTTCATTTCTTTTTTTCATATGCTTTTTCCTCCAGAAATTTTCTTTGCAATGCATTTTCTATTGCTATTTATGTGCTTTTGTTTATCCATAGGCCATCATTAATTTGTCATATTTGCTTCCAGTATAAATGACATTTTCTTAGACCTAGTATAGTTTCAAACGCCATAAAGAAGAACTTTGTTTGTTGTTTCACTTGTCCAATGTGTAAATTTTCACTATGCACATGACCCTGACACATATTTTATTAACGTTATATATGACGTAAGTTGAAAAAGAAAACAATGTCACCGTCAATTTGTGTAGGGGATCAAAAAGGGGGTTAATTACTTTAAAATGGAGATATCGTATGGAATTGTGAAAATCAACACTTTTTAATCACAATTTCATTCATATCTATATTAAAATCAGTATTTTAGAGTACTTTGGAAACAGGTACAATGAAAAGAAGTTGAACTATACTGTTTTGAAGTAGAAACGCAGCCAAAACCAGGTACAAATTGACATGACTGGTGGTCACCAAAATTGATGTATAATAGTAAAAAATGATGGCTTCATAATTGTGTAGAAATTTGAAATAGGTTACCCGGTTTCATTTAAGATTTTTAAAGTTCTATTCCGTATTTGGATACGCAAACGTCAAGTTATATAAATTCGATGTTTTTGGCGAACAAAAAAGATGGCTGATCATTTTTTGAACGGACAGGATAAAGTAATAGCAAATAAAAGTTATTTTCGACAATGTTTTAATGTCGTATTGAAACTATATTGTTCACAAAATCTACAAACTTTAAAAATCAATTATAATAAAAGCATGACAAGTTGAAAAAAATAGTTTAAACGTCGATTTTTTAGCCGATTTATTTCGCGAACTTTTTGACGTCACCGACGACTGTAGCGCCACCTAATTAATTCCCCCTGCAATTGTTGCTGATAGAGCTTGACGACAACGGACGTTTCCAAGGACTTGCTTTCCAACTGATTATGGAGTTTTGATGTAGGTGTTGTTTCATTTTCTATTCCATTGCATTATTTGCACATTTGTGGATTTCAGCAAGTCAACATGGCGGCTCACTCCTTAGTTACGACATGTCAACTCTGGATTTGACAGTAAATAGTAGCCAACGAAAAATAAATGTTTGGGTTAAGAATTATGTGAATTGAACACATTTTTTCTACTGCTTAATTGAGAAATAATTCATGTAAGACTTAGATTTATATAAAATTTGTAGCTTTTATCTTACAGGGGTAAAATAGAACAGCGATACACACGGCAATCTTTCGTTCGCGTCAGTTTTCTAATTACCGTATTTGTCCTATTAGAATCGAAATAATTCATGGACGCCATAGATTTGTTGGACATTTACACATGGCCTGGGCGTGATATTCGTTAATTTTATCCCTCGCTAACGCTCAGGATAAAATTCGAATATCACGGCCCAGGCCATGTGTAAATGTCCAACAAATCTATGGCGTCCATGAATTATTTCTTAAGTCATACGAATTAAGTGGTGGTAAATAGAAGCCGATGAACAAAA